TCACCTCCGGGGCAGGCGGGAATCGAACTCATGCGGAAGTGGCTTTAGATTCTCAGTGCTGTGCTTTAACCCGCTGCGCCACCAGGGAGGGCCTGGTATGACTTTGTTTCCCACCGGGAGAATAGTTTGTGGGTGAAGCAGACTGTAGGTGCTGGCTACAAAGACAGGGCCAGTGAAAGGCGGGCTGGCCCGAGAGCCTGAAATGGAACCCCAGAGGCTCTGGGAACAGAGGCTAGAGGTCCTTGATCAGACTCCTTGGACACACAGTTTGGGGGGCCCTGTCGTGTGTGTGGAGACAGTTTTGGGGGGCCCTGGGGGGCCCCTGGACAGAGGACACCTTCTTTGGAGGCCCTGTGGCCTGAGCTGCTCTGACAGCCCCACTTTGGGGGGCTTGAGCAGGGCCCCCTTGGTCCCTGGCCCCCCAGGGTGCTCTTCTCCTGGCCACCACCAGGGGTCTCTGGAGCTCCCGGCAACGAGAGCCCATCCGGCTCTGCTCTCCCTCCTTAGGCCCTTGAGCCGCTTCAGCACTGTCCAATTTGGAGGTGACCCTGGAGGTCATCAAGCTCCATGGAGGGGAGGGGCGCCCGCCTCCAGGGACCATGCCTGTGATCTCAGTATCAGCTGGTGGCCAAACCCCAGCAGATGCTCACCACGGCCCTTCTGACTTCCCACCCCAGTTCAAGACAGCCAGCCTGAATGGCGGGCCCCTCCATTCCCTGCCAGGCCCCACCCCTCCTCCCTCACTGGCAATGCTGGGAAACGCAGGTCAGAGCTTGGGAATGCAGCCCTGGGCAGGGTGATAGGAGGAGGGAGGAGGGCATGTGACCGCCTCGCCTCTCCCCTTGGGTCTCCAGACCCACAGGCAAATGGAGGCTAGTTGTGTGGGGAGAGGTGGTACAGGAAGGCACTCCTGCCCTCCTGCCGGCCCTGGTGGGGTGAGGGCAGCTGCCACAGTGCCCCATAGCACCTGTAGGAAAAGCCGTGCCCCAGGCGGCAGCTCGTCCTGATCCGCCAGGCAGGAGTGGGTAACTAGAGAGGGCCTCAGGGCCCGCAAGGTGAGGGGCATCTCCTGGAAGAAGCCAGAGGCGTACGCACTTCTCTGAGTCTCAGCACCCGAGAAAATGGGGTTTGCCACGCTCTGTACCATTCGAGGCTAGCTGGGCATGCCCACGGGGGCCTCGGTGCCTTGGTCAGAGAAGAGGCATCATCAGGCCTTTTGCTGTCCACCCCTCCCTGGGGGACATGTGGAAAGGATGCTGGAGTTCAGTGCCACCCCCATCTCCCCCAAGGCCCCGCACTCTGAGTTGAGGTGCCACGGAGGGGCTGTGCTCTTGTCAGGGACCAGAAGCTGTCAGGAGAGAAGAGGCAGATCCCACTGCAGGCGGCTGTAGCCGGCCACTGGCCTGGCCCCGCCCCCCCCCGCCCCCCACCCCCAGGGCCCAGCCTGCTGTGGTCTCAGCAGGCACCAGCTTCCCAGCCGGCTGCCGCCACCCAGCCTGTCCCCGCCCAGCCAGCCCCCCCTTCCCTCCAAAGCACCCTCCCCTCCCCCAGGCCCTCTGCCCAGCCTCAGCAGGGTCAGCCAGTGAGTGGGGCTAGGCAGGCTGGGCTCCTGCTCCCTGGGGAGCAGGGTGAGGTGGGCAGTGGGCAAGCAGCAGGAGGGCCTGGTGCCAGGGCAGAGCCTTCGGGACAGGCGCAGGCTGGGGTCCGCGTGCAGAGTCTTGGGGTGAGTTGGGGTACAGCTCTGTGGGCAGTTGGCTGGGTCACAGGAGCTTGAAGTGGGGGGACCAGGGGGAGGGACAGGGGTTGTGACGGATTCATGGCTGTATTTGGAAGTCGGATAGGAGCCAGCACAGTGAGGCTGGGCCCCTGGCCAGTTGTAGGGGAGGGCGTCAGGGCCCTGGGGACACCCCTCCTCCCAAATGACGTGCTGACCCCCCCCTGTTCCCCAGCCTGAGATGCCCTTCTCTGTGCATGACTCAAACTCTGTGTTCCCTTCCCTGAGAGCTTTGGGGTCCTTGCTTTAGGGCTGGGGCCAGCAGGTGCCTCTGGCGCCTGGGGCAGGAAGCTGAGAAGGGAGGGGGAGGGCCACTTGGACAGTGCCACCTCATTGGCCCTGGCTCCGAGGTCAGGATGGGGCTCATCTGAGGTCTGTGTTCCTCTGCATGGGCCTAGCTCACCAGAGAAGCGGGTGTCCTGGCTGTGCCCCTCTGGGGTGCAGAGACATGAGCCAGCTGCATTAAGCGCTTGCAGTTCCATGATAGGAATGTGGGTTCCCTGCTCCAGTGGCATTTCCAGTCTCCTCAAGGCCCAGGGTGGCTCCTCTGCTTCCCGAATCCTTTGCTCCAGGCCATTCTCTATGGCTCCCCCACGCAGGGGGAGCAGCAGGGTCAGTGTTGGGAGAGCCCAGAGTGAAGCAGGACTCAGGGGCCAAGGGACAGGAGACACCTAGGTAAGTTCACGCAGCAGGCAAGTGGGAACCCCAGAAAGGGAGGTCAGGGTGCCTCGTGCACCGCTGCAGACGTGGTCAAGTCCTTCCGGTCCGTCCGTCCAGCGCTGCCTCTCTGCTCTGTCCCCCCATCCTCTCCTGGTAGCTCTCTCTGTGCCACTGTTTTCCTTCTGTCTCTCTTCCAGGTGGGTCCACATCTCCTTTCAGCAGCCCCATCACCTCTGACGAGGAGTACCTGAGCCCCCCGGAAGAGTTCCCTGAGTCTGGGGAGACCTGGCCTCAAACTCCCACGATGAAACTCAGCCCCACCCAGAACCGCTGTGCCTCGGACACTGGCTCCAGGGCACCCCCCACCTTCAAGGTCAGCCCCCCGAGGTCAGCCCCCAAGGTGCCCCCATTCTCTCACATGCCACCTGGTTTGGGGAGCCATACCGTGCTCCAGCAAGATCCGGAGCTTGGCCCCATCATCCCTCCTTACCCAGGGCCAGCCTGAGTCAGCCTGGTACAGAAGAGGTGTCTGTCCCAAGCCCCCCAGCTGCCAGGAGACAAAACTGGGCCCTGTCTCCCCTGACACTTTGGGGTCCTGACCCTTTAGGTCTCACTTATGGACCAGTCAGTAAGAGAAGGCCAAGATGTCACCATGAGCATCCGTGTGCAGGGGGAGCCCAAGCCTGTGGTCTCCTGGTAAGTAGCAGCCGCCACCTTCTGTCTGCGTTCCCGATCCGGGCCTGCCCCTGGGAACAGGGGGCCTACTACCCCCCCCCCGAGTCCCCAGGGGGGCACCTCATCCAAGTACAGTGTTCCCCTCCCTCTCGAACACCCTTCCCAGCCCTGCTCTCCCAGCTCATCGGAGCGCCCCCTTCTGAGGACGGCCGAGGGCACAAATGGCCACCTGTCTTCACTTGGAAGACCGGTCTCGCTCCTGGGGAAGCTGCTCAGCCCCAGCCGCCCCAGCCAGCCCAGCCGGCCCCAGCCCCATTGGTTGACAGCCCGGTGACTTTTGAGCTCTGCTCTGCCCTCAGGTGTCACATTTGTGTGCGAGCTGCCAGCGCCTGGCCTCCAGTGCCAGCCCCTGGGCAGCACCTTACCCTGGTGCCCAGCACTTTGATTACTGGCCTTGCAGCTTTTTACTGTTTCGGTCCTATTTTCCTTTTTTTTAGTTATTATCAATTTTGCATAGAAGACCTGGGGTGCAGTCCAGAGGTGTGGGGGGTGGGTGGGTGGATTCCCCAGAAGTAGAGTGGGGAGTAGAACAGGCCGATCTATTGAAATCCCCTGCTGAGGGGAGCAGGGTCGCGGCAGGAGAGGTCTGCTGTGCCCTGTGGGTCAGCACTGGCGGGGCTGGAACTTGGGCCACAGAGGTGATAGCGCGGAGATGTAACTCCTAGCCCAGCAGGGAGGCCCCTGATTCTATTCTTAATTGATTTCTCATCATTGCTGTAATTTTTTTAATTGTAAGTGATTCCCTGTCCTTTCAGGAGGGCTGGCTGGTCAGTTAATAGATAAGTGAAAATAAAGTAAGAGGAAATTGAAGAACCATCAAGATCTGAATAAGTTCTGAGAGGGGAGTGGCTGAGGTGGGCAGAGGTGGTCTAGGCGGAAGGGGGAGGATGCAGAGTCGGGGTGAGAGCCAGCCCTGGACCCCAGACACACCCCTCTCTGGCAGGACAGGTCTGGGGGTGGCCAGTGTGGGGGTGGAGCGTCCTGTGCGGCTCCGCAGCCCCACGTCCGACCGACCGTCCGTCCGAGGCTGCCGGCCTGCGCCGCCGGCACGGGGCACTGAGCTGTTGCCGCCCTGCAGGCTGAGGAACCGGCAGCCCGTGCGCCCCGACCAGCGGCGCTTCGCGGAGGAGGCGGAGGGCGGGCTGTGCCGGCTGCGGATCCTGGCGGCCGAGCGGGGTGACGCTGGCTTCTACACCTGCAAAGCGGTTAACGAGTACGGCGCGCGGCAGTGCGAGGCCCGCCTGGAGGTCCGAGGTGAGTACCCCACCCTCACCCTCCACGACCTGTGCCACCCCTGCCCTCCGCCAAGGCTCACGCCAGCCCGCCACAGGACACCGGAATGGAAAGGAGCTTACGGGAGCCCACGTGTAGGGGCGTGTGTTGTAGTTGAGAAAACTGAGCTGGCGGTGACTTGCCCAGGGCCGCACAGCACGGTCCGGCAGTGGGCAGTCGGCGTCCCACACGGGGCTGCCTTCCCGGGGCTCGGCACACCGCCCAGACCCCGCCGGCCACCGGCCGCCCCGGCCCCACCACGCCTCCCTCACACTCACTACGCCGTCCGCGTGTCCTTCGCCTGCCTCCCCAGGCCATCGCTGTGCAGAGCTGTTGTGGGTTGGGGCTGTGGCAGCGGGGAGAGGCTGACAGTTGGACCCGTTCGGAGGGCCCTCGGGGTGACTTTGGGCATGGAGCATCGCAGGGACCCCAGGGTTGCCAGAGTGAGCAGAGCTGTGCAGTGTCGAGGGACCCTGGAGTTGGTGCTCGCGGGCAGGGGCCTTTCAGGCAGTGGACAGCGGGACCTGGCCAGGCTGCCTTGGGACTGCGGCTGTCCTCCCCGAAGGCTGGCCGGGCTGGCCGTGGGCCTCACCTCTGCCTCACCCCTCCGTGCGGACGCTGCAGGCCCCGGCGCCCTCCCAGCCCCATGCTCGGCCTCCCTCCCTCCCCGCCCCCTGCCAGGCTCCGGCCCTTCCAGACCAGCAGGGTGCCGCCCTGAGAGCTCCCAGGCCGCCCCAGGCCCCAAAGGCCACCGGCTGGGCCCTGCCCGCCTCCGTTACCCTGCCCTGTACCCCCTTACCTGGTTCTTCCGTCCCCCGCCGCCCCATCGCCTGGCCTGCTCCTTCTCCCCAGCTCCGCCTTGCTTCTGTGTTAACCCTTGTCTTGGTGCTTCTCTCTCTTTGGGGTTCCTCCAACATCTCCCAGCTTTGGGGTGCTCCTGACCACTGTGAATGCCTCTCCCATGGTTGCTCAGGCACCCAAGAGGCCTAGCCTCTGGCTGGCTGCTGGGCCCCAACCCAGGGCTGAGCTAGGGACAGCGACACGTGGCAGTGCCACCTGGCGGCTTTAGAGGCCGCGTTCCACCAGAGGCCCCCTCCAGGCCTGCGTGCGTGTGCATGGGTGTGTGTGCCTGTGTGTGCGTGTGCTGCACTAACCTGCTGCTTGCTGACTGAGGTTTTTGTCTGTACACAGGCGAGTGAGCTCAGGGGGCCGCCTGCGCTCCCCCCGCGACCCTCCGAGCCGCGCCCCTGTCTCAGGCACCTCTCGGACCTCGCTGTGTTTCACTGCCTCCTGCCCACAGACCCTGCCGGCCCGCCGGCCCGGACCCAGTCCCAGCCTCCCCTCCCCTCCCCACTCCAGGCAGCACCCTGGGATAACCCACGGGCCCCTGTGGACCTTCCCTCCCCGAGTGGACGTCTGGCTGGGCAGGCTGGGAACCCGCCCCCCATGGACTGAGTGCCAGAACAGGGTGGCCATGAGGGGAGTATCGAGACCCCCCGGTCCCTCCCCATAGGGGACCACCCAGCAGTGCATGTGCTAACGCGGCTACAGGCCCTGTCTGTCTCTCCGTTTGTCGTCTGTGTGTCTGTGGCAGTCGGGGAGGGTGTCTCCGAGCTGCCGAGGGGCTAAGGACAGGGCATGGCAGACGTCTTCAGGTAGCTGGGGGGCTGGAGGGCAAGGGGCTCACAAAGAGGGGGCCGGAAAAGGGTTTCAAAAGGCACAACACTTTCTATTTCACAAGAGACCAGAAGCCAGAGGCCCCAGGCCCCGTGCTGGGGAGGGGGCCTGGCAGCACCCCGGCTGGCTCGTGGGTTTGGGGTCCATGCGGGCTCCCCCCTTCGCTGGGCCAGGGGCGCTGTCTGGGAACGAGGGAGCTGTCCAGGCTTGGTGCAGAGGGAGGGGCCTACTGTCGTGTGTGTGGAGACATTCAGAAATACCTGTTTCTTAGCTCAAATAAAGTCCAGTTTGTACCCAGCTGGTGTGCTGTGTTCTGTTTTCTTTTTCCGCCGCCGTCTTTGTCCCTGCACGGCCCTCTGTCTTCCTGCCTTGGTTTCCTCTAGCTGCTGAGTTCACAGTCCCCAGCCACTGGGGTTGCCCTCCTGAAGCCAGGCCTGGGAGCCCCTTGCTGTCCAGACGGGCGGGCGGGCGGGCGTTCCCTGTCTCCAGAGGAACCAAACGCATCTCTCTCTCTGTGTCTGTCTGTCTCTCTGTGTGTGTGTGCGTGTCTCCCCGCCCCATGTGTCCACTCCACGCGTGCCCGCTGTGGCCGCTTCCCCCCAGCACACCCTGAAAGCCGGTCCCTGGCCGTGCTGGCACCCCTGCAGGACGTGCACGTAGGGGCCGGGGAGATGGCGCTGTTTGAGTGCCTGGTGGCGGGTCCTGCCGACGTGGAGGTCGACTGGCTGTGCCGCGGCCGCCTGCTGCAGCCTGCGCTGCTCAAATGCAAGATGCATTTCGACGGCCGGAAATGCAAGCTGCTGCTCACCTCCGTGCATGAGGACGACAGTGGTGTCTACACCTGCAAGCTCAGCACGGCCAAAGGTAACCGCCCTTTTGGGCCTTTGGGCAGCCACGGGCGCCCACGCCCCGGAGGGAGGGGACCGGAGGGATAGAAGCCGGTGCAGAGAAGAGCCCCAGGACTGGGGCTCCCTCTCGTGGCGGGGCAGATGGTGCAGTCGGCTGCCCCAGTGAGTCGCATGCAGAGGGGCCCCGGCCCAGGACCAGCTGCGGCCCCGAGTGGGGAGCCAGTCCGTGGCGGTGTGGCTGACAAAGCGGATGTGGGGTCCAGTTCCCGCCCTGCCACGTGCCAACCGTGTGATGTGCGTGGGAGAAGCCACCGTGACTCTTTACACTTTGGTCTTTGGAAGGGGGGGGACACCCACCTCGTGGGGCGTTGAGATAACGAGATAGTGGATGTACAGAACAAAGCACAGCTCCTGCACTAATAACTGTCAGCATTATTATTATTAATGACACCCCTGACCTGGCCCCATCCTCACTTGAAGAACTGATAATCCCTCCCCGGGTTGCAGTGATGAGCGTCTAAGGTGACACTGGGGGGCGGGCTGTGTAAGCAGGAGGGTGTCGGGTCCACGTAAGGGCCCATTGGTTCCCCCAGGAGCGCCTTGGGCGTTGGGGGAGGGTGTGAGCAGGACCCGGGTGCAGAGGTGGGCACCCAGGGCGGGGGTGAGGTTGAGGGGTCGGAGGGCTTGGCTCCTCAGCCTCTCTCAGGGCTGCACTGAGCCGCCTCCTGGGTGTGCAGCGTGCAGTGAGGCCCTGCGCCCCAGCCACGGCAACAGACTGCCACCCGCTCTGGCTGGCCTCACCCCTGAGAAGACCCTGCCTTTGAGTCTTGCCCTGCTTCACCACCAGAGAGCAGCCCGAGTTCTCCCAGCCTCCAGCTTCTGCCCGGCCCTGCTTTCCCGCCCAGCACTAGGGGAGCCCCTTCAGGTTGGGGTACTGGGGCTCCATGGCCTTCCCCACCCTAGGGCTGATCCTTCCCTCCCAGACGAACTGACCTGCAGCGCCCGGCTGACCGTGCGGCCCTCGCTGGCGCCCCTGTTCACCCGGCCGCTGGAGGACGTGGAGGTGTTGGAGGGGAGAGCCGCCCGCCTGGACTGCAAGATCAGCGGCTCCCCGCCTCCCTCTGTTACGTGGACTCATTTTGGTAGGGCCCTCCACCTGCCGATGTGGGGGAGGGGGGAGAGGCCACGGGTCCTGGGCTGGGTGGGGCACACTCGGAGGGCCTGGGCTGCCTCCCGCTCCCCCAGGCCGCCCCGTGGAGGAGAGTGAGAATCTGCGGCTGCAGCAGGACGGGGGTCTGTGCTCGCTGCACATCGCCCACGTGGGCAGTGAGGACGAGGGACTCTACGCGGTCAGTGCTGCCAACACCCACGGCCAGGCCCACTGCTCAGCCCAACTCTACGTGGAGGAGCCTCGGACCGCGGCCACCGGCCCCAGGTACGCCCGGGACACCCAGGGCTGCCCGCGCGGGCTCTGCAGCGCCCCAGCCTTGTGGTGGGGGCGGCGCTCAGGACCCCTGGGCAGCGGTGTGCTTCCCGCAGCTCGAAGCTGGAGAAGATGCCGTCCATCCCCGAGGAGCCAGAGCACGGGGAGCTGGAGCGGCTGTCCATGCCCGACTTCCTGCGGCCGCTGCAGGACCTGGAAGTGGGACTGGCCAAGGAGGCCATGCTGGAGTGCCAGGTGACTGGCCTGCCCTACCCCACCATCAGCTGGTTCCACAATGGCCACCGCATCCAGAGCAGTGAGGACCGGCGCATGACACAATGTACGTGACCCAGAGTGGACCCTGGGGAGCGGCCCCTCCAGCGCCCTCTTTCTTTGCCCGTTGTTCCCACCCTGGGGCCTCCTTTTCTATCCTGGTCAGGGCTGCGGTGCCTTCCAGGAAGGGAGCCCAGGGGGCGATGAGGTCATCACCTCCTTCCTCCAGCCCACTCATCACCCTGAGTCACCACTCTGGGCCTCGGGGGCCCCGTGAACACATACTAGGCAAGCGGTACAGCCTGTACTGACCAGCGGCCGGCCAGCCCTCACCTCCCTTTCCTTATCTGGAATAAGCTTGTTTTGACAATTAAGTCGTCTAAAACATCTACCGCGAGCAGCCAGGGTTAACTCTGTGCTAATTACTGTTGCTGCTTTGCCATTACTGCAGGGGGCCTCTCATCACAGAGCAACTTCAGTGGAAGACTGGTGTGGGTAGTGACTGGCACTGGAGCGGTGGCCCAGGACTGTCACTAGCGAACAAAGCAGGCGCAGGGCCGGGGTGGGGGGTGGGGCATACAGAGAACGGATTTGGGAGCGTGTCCCTCTCGGTCCAGGATACTCGGTCCAGCGCCGTCCTTGAGGAGCCTGAGTCTCAAAGTCAGACAGACAGGGCCACACGTGGCCCGTGAGGGGCTCCTCTCGTCTGTGACGTGGCCACAGCTCACTTCTACTAAGCTCTGTCTGGAGGCCAGGCCCTGAGTGCTGGATAGCTGACCTGGGCCTTCTCATGTTCCTCACCTGGGCCCTGTAAGGCAGGTATTATTGTCACCACTTACAGATGGAGAAACTGAGGTTTATAGAGGGACAAGGACTTGCCCAAAAGGGAGCAAAGGCCATCTGACTCTGGACCCGCCTCCTAACCAGGATGTCCCGTGGTCCCCACTCCCAGCTCCCCACGCCCCATCCCCCAGCTCCCCTACCACCCTGCCCCCACCGCCGATGGCCGGCCCTCTGGCTGTCTCCTATGTGCTCTGAGACCCTGGGTGGGTGTCTGTCTCAGAATCGGAGCCACATCTCCGCTTCTGTCTGTAGCTGAGGTCAGCGGCCGCTGCGGCTTCTTCTCCGTTATAAATAGTGTCGGCAGAGATAAATGAATGGGTGGCTGTTCCATGCGGAGATAACGGCTGGGGAGTGGGGGAGGGTGTTGGGGCTGGTCCTGACATGAAGTGGGAGAGTACAGGCCTCCTCCCCTGTGTCCCTGCCAGAGACAGCCTCCTGATTATCATTCCAGGGGCACAGTGTGGGCAGAGAGCTCTGGGTTCGGAGGGACTCAAGTTCAAGCCAAGGCTCCATCATTTATTAGCTGGTGACCTTGGACAAATCTGGGAATGTCTCTGACCCCACTGGTAAAATGACGATAATTTTGCAGGATCACTGAAAGGACTGTGGGGGTGGGGAGGATACGTGTGGAACAGCTGGCTGCGGCTAGGCAGAGGGCAGGCCAGTCTTACTATAATTTATAATATAATGTACTTGGCACTTACTGCGTGTGAGACATTAGGTTCTGGGCCGGACAGGATGAGCCAGCCCTGCAAGCCAGTTCAGGAACCGCGCCACCTGCCAGTGACCAGAAAGGGCCAACCCACAGCAGTGTGAGCCCAGCACTGGGGGCCCGAGGAGGGGAGGGGCTCAGGCACCCCGGGGGATGGCACATGGCAGAGGTGGCTACCCACGCTGGCCCTCACCTGAACTGGATCTAGACAGGGAGGCCTTCGTAACCGAGGAGGCCTTCATAAAATCCCTCGTGAAAGGAGGAATTGAGCGAGCAAAGACCCAGGGGTGGAACTCACCCGGCTGGCGCAGGGAACTAGTGGTTTGTCGGGGTCAGACGCAGAGGTGTGACGGGGGCATGGTGGATGGAGTTTGGACAGAGGGCTGTGGACGCCACCCATGGTGTGGTAGAGCCTCAGGTTTCCAGCGTGACCTCTTTGTCGGGGTGTGGACCACATGGTGGAGGGCTTTCCAAGGCTGTGCTGGAACCGGCCCTGGCCGTGGCCATGGGGCTAGAAAGACAGGACTTGCGGGGTTGTGGGGTGGAAGCCTCAGCAACGAACCTCGTCAGAACGTTAGCACGGAGATGTAGCCTTCGGAGGGGCAGGCTTGAGAGGCAGTGACCGGGCAGAGGGTGAAGCACTGTGGGAGGCAGATGAGAAGGGTCTGGGCTGCAGGTGCAGGAGGGACCCGCCGAGCCCGGCTGAGGGCAGCCCCCCAAGCCTGTCCCTAGGGCTCGCTACCCAAGGCACACTCTTCTCGCTGTCTGCCTCCCTCCTGCTTCCCCTGAGTAGGGGCAGGTAAAGGGCCAGGGTGGCATGGAGCCAGCCTGCAAAGGCTGCTCCTAGCTCAGGCCCAGGCTCACGGTCCCTCCCCTACAGACAGGGATGTCCATCGCTTGGTGTTCCCCGCCGTGGGACCGCAGCACGCAGGCGTCTACAAGAGCGTCATCGCCAACAAGCTGGGCAAAGCCGCCTGCTATGCCCACCTCTACGTCACAGGTGAGGCCGGCACCCAGGTCAGTTGCATCCCCAGCCCAGCCACTGGCCTACCTGGGGGCCCGGGGGAGGGAGGGGCCTCGGCACCAGCTCTCTTCCCCCTCGCGCCCCTGGAGCGTCTCTGGCCTGGGCCTGGGGCTCTCATGCCCAGCCCACTGGCAAGGGCCTGGTGGTCCCACAGAGCCACTGGGCGGGGAACAGCTACCCAAACAGCTACCCAACCTGTGCCTTCCAGATGTGGTCCCAGGCCCCCCGGACGGGGCCCCTCAGGTGGTGGCTGTGACTGGGAGGATGATCACACTCACGTGGAACCCTCCCAGGAGCATGGACATGGCCATCGGTGGGTCGGCTCACCAGGGCTGTGGGGTGGGAGGGGTGCGGACAGGGCAGGCTCAGGCCGTCCACTAAGGGACCCGGGAGGCGAGGGTGAGGCCCAGAGGAGCACAGGAATGGGGTGGACTTGGATGGCTGCTGGGATGCGGGCAGGAGCCCTCTCTCGCCCTCCAGGGGAAGCCTCTTTTGAGTCAGGATGGGGAGACAGGTGGGGGAGGGGGGAGGGTGCCAGGTTCTCTTTCTCAAAGGGGCTGTGTGCTCTGTGCCTGTTTCCCGACCTCAGGTAGTAGTAGGGAGTTGGGCTGCCAGTCAGACCTCCTCCAGGCCTCCACAGGACGCCATACTGGCATTGCGGGACCCAGCCTTGGCCGGGCCAGTGCTTAGGACAGAGCACAGGGGGGCAGCCAGAAGCAGTAGGCGAAATGGAGGCGACACCTCAGAACCAGCTAAGGATGAGCCCCTACACCTTGAGCCACCTGAAAGGGGCGGGGGCACCCCAGCAACGCCCCTTTCTAGCAGCTGCCTCCTCCTGCCAGACCCCGATGCCCTCACCTACACCGTGCAGCACCAGGTGCTGGGCTCAGACCAGTGGACAGCGCTGGCCACAGGCCTGCGGCAGCCTGGGTGGGCAGCCCTAGGGCTGCGTAAGGGGGTCCAGCACGTCTTCCGGGTCCTCACTGCCACCGTCAAGAGCAGCAGCAAGCCCTCGCCCCCCTCTGATCCTGTACAGCTGCTGGAGCATGGTGAGTCTGGCGGCCCGGGGCGGGACGGGTTGCTGCTGGGCTGGAAGCTGGTCCCCACAGTGGAGGCTCAGCGGCCGGTCTGGGCACTGTGGGGCACCGGGGTGGGTGGGGCTCTCAGGCAGTTTTCTCCTCTCTCCTGAAAGCACCATGTGCGCCCTGCCACTTCCCCACGGTGTTCCCTAGACAAATTGCTAAGCGCCCTGAACCTCACCTTCCTCATCTGAAACGGGGCTCATGTGGCAATCGGGGGGTCCTGGAGAGGTGGGTGCTGAGCTCCTGGCAGTAAGCCCGGCACCCCTGAGTTCACCCTGTCCCAGGCCCACCCCTGGAAGAGGCGCCTGCTGTGCTGGACAAGCCAGAGGTCGTGTATGTGGTAGAGGGACAGCCCACCAGTGTCACGGTCACCTTCAACCACGTGGAGGCCCAGGTCATCTGGAGGAGGTAGGCCCCGCCTGGCACCCCTGCCCGCCCCCGGCGGCAACCCAGTGTGGCTGGATCCTGGGTGACCTCCCTGCCGTGTGTCCCTTAGCTGCCGCGGGGCCCTCCTTGAGCCACGGGCAGGTGTGTACGAGCTGAGCCAGCCAGACGACGACCAGTACTGTCTTCGGATCTGCCGGGTGAGCCCCCGGGACGTGGGGTCCCTCACCTGCACTGCCCGCAACCGCCACGGCACCCAGGCTTGCTCGGTCACCCTGGAGCTGGCAGGTGGGTGATAGTGGACGCTTTCTCTCTCCTCCCACCCTCAGGAGCACAGCCCCCACCCCCGCCTCTTCCTACTCATCTGCCCATCTCGTGCCCATAATTAAGCCCCCACAGAACTAGAAGAAGAATGAGTCCTTCTGAGGTTTCAGTTATGCCATGGCCTGAAAATATTACGGACAATAAGCTATTTTGAGAGAAAGACCACATTTGGTAGCTTTTGTTATAGTATGTTGTTATACCTGTTCTATTTTTAGTACTAGTAATTATTGTCATCTCTCGCTGTGCCTTGTTTATGAATTAAACTTTATCACAGGTATTTAAGTACAGGATAAAACCAAATGTATACAGTTTGGTGTCATCCATGGTTGAGGAGTCCATTGGGGTCTTGGAACATACATTCCCCATGGAAAAAGAGGGGGGGACTGCTGTTCTAGTAATAATAATCACAGCAATGTACTAATACGGTGTTGATGGAGAACTTAGATGGGCCAGGCTCAGTAGTAGGCCCTTTTTACATGCATTACCTCATTTAATATCTGCATCAAGCCTGTGAGATGAGATCAGACGTTGTCCCCGTTTTATAGACGGGGCCTTTTGTTTTTCAAAGTTCGGGTCGAGGGGCTTGAGAGATTGCAATGCCAGGTCTCCCTGAAGGTCTCCGGAAGCTCAGGGAGGGGGCTGAGTATATGCCCAAGACCAAAAGCCTAGTAGGCCCGTGAGCCAGGATGGAGACCTGGATCCCTGGCTGCAACCAGAGAGTGCCTCTAGCTCCTGAGTTAAACACCGCAGGAAACAGGAACTTAATATAATAAGGTTAGCAAGGCCAAATTGATTTAGAAAAGAAAAAGGCCCAAGCGAGCTCATCTTATCACCAGATGCCCAGACCTGGGCTCCTGGTGCCCCGGGCCCAGCCTGTGCCACCGGCTCCCAGCCTTTGCAGCCAGGACCCTGTTCATAATTTCTCTCCTTTACAGATGTAGTCTCTCGCTCCTTCGCACGGATTAGGTGGTAATTGTCTCGTTTTCCGGTTTGTTAATTAACTGTAGACATATGTAGCTGCCACTCAGAACTCTGTCCCCGCATGTGCTGAACAGCGTTACCTGCTGGGTAGATGCAGACCCCACCAAATGCAAAGTGACATTTTACTTAGTACGGGAGCCGAGCGTGGGTAAATGTACATTTCCCGGTGCTTTACAAAAATTGTTCAGATTTGCTTGAAACCGTCTGGTCCATTGACCCCCTAGACCCCGCCCAACCTCCTCTGCCCCACCAGCAGAGCCGAGCCCAGGTTCCTCGCAAGCGAAGAAGGCCCTATTGTCCCCGCTGGGGGAGGGGGAGGCCACAGACCTCCCTTCTGGCCCTCACCCTCCCCAGTTTCCCCCACCGCACGCAGGGCATTTCCTACTCAGCCAGCCATTACTTTACAGCCCCCTCCACAGACTCATGTTTCTTCCCAGCCCTGGCGCTTGGGGAGCCCCCGGCCAAGAGCTGTGCTGCCCAGCTTGACTGGGACAATGACCGAGGGACGCTGTGTCCCACCTGCCAGGCCGGAGCAGGGCTTGGGCTTGACCCTACACCCCTCCCACTTCATCCCCTGGTGTGGGGGCGCCGCCTCCTGTCCCCCACCTGTCCCACAGGTGTGTCCTGCCCAGCCCCTCTTTTGTCTGTGTGAATGTGAGCGGTGTGCCTGTGACAGGCGCTGGTGGTCCCTCTCCAGGGTCCCTGCTGTCCCCTGATCACCCCACACGCCTTAAAGCTGAGGCCCTCCAACATGCCCAGGAGGGACACCCAGAAGCCACCTGTCCCTCCACAAGGCGCTTTGGAGTTTGTGTTTAATTCCATCCTGAGAACCAGGTGCTATATTGCCAGAAAATAGCAAGACCACGTGGTAACGTGTAAAGAATAAAACCAGCCACGTGAGGGAAAACTAAGCCGAGAATCGGCACCCATCAGTTCATCTGCCAACCCCCCCGCGGTGGGATACCCCTTAATACCCCTTAAACATTTCCGACAGAACCTCACGGTGAGGCAGTGCGGTGACTGTGAGGCGGTCACAGGCCTCCAGCCGCAGGCTGGCGGGAGAGTGTGCCGGAGGGCAGCCGCCCACAGGGGGCAGTGTCGAGCCGCCTGCCGCCAGCCCATTAATGCAGGGAGGGAAGCCGCTGGTTCTGGTTTTCCAAGACAGGCAGGAAATCCAGATTTCTTTTGTGTGTGAAAATCGCCTAATTTTAAAGCTGACAAATGAACACCGAGGGTCAAACAAAGCCAGTCTGAACCCCCGGCCTTCGTTTTTCTGAGATTTGGAGAACATCACGTTTGCATTTATTGGAAGAATCTTGGTCCAGGCCAGGGCGTTCCCAGGGGCTGTTTGAGGACCCTAGCTGGTGGGGTGCTGGGGAGGGGGGGTGGGAGGGAGAGTCTGGTGTTCTGCTGAGCCAGTTTCTGAGTGACTGAGGAGAGGGGGGCCTGCCCCTTCCCTCCCCTTCTCCCCCCCTCCCCCCCACTATGTTTCAGAGGCCCCTCGATTTGAGTCTATCATGGAGGACGTGGAGGTGGGGGCTGGGGAGACCGCTCGCTTCGCTGTGGTGGTGGAGGGAAAACCACTGCCCGACATCATGTGGTATAAGGTCAGGGGGCGAAGGTGGCTCAGCTGAGTCCTAGTCTGGGACTGGCTAGGAGCCTGGGCAGAGGGGGAGAGGGATTTCCCGGGGGGCATGAGAGGGGTCTGGGCAGAAAAGAGATGACATTAGGAAGAGGCTGTGGGACCTGGGGGTGCTGGGTGACACAGGTGGAGGTTTGGGAACCAGGAGACCAGTTGGAGGTACAGGGGAGTTAGCAGGAGATTAGGTTCTTGGGGGAGCATGGTCCCTGGGGTGGACAGGTTCCGGGGTTTTAGGTTGTGGGAGAAGCCAGGCGTGGGCTGGTGGTGATGGGTGTCTTTGCAGGATGAGGTGCTGCTCACAGAGAGCAGCCACGTGAGCTTCGTGTACGAGGAGAATGAGTGCTCCCTGGTGGTCCTCAGCACGGGGGCCCAGGATGGAGGTGTCTACACCTGCACGGCCCGGAACCTGGCCGGCGAGGTCTCCTGCAAAGCGGAGTTGGCTGTGTTTTCAGGTGGGCTGGAGTGCCAGGGGAGCAGGGCAAAGCGCTCACCCCCATCTGATGTGAACCCCCTCCCCCGGGCTGGGAGTCACCAGGCCCTTCGCTCCCAGACAGTCGAGCCTCTTGCCCCAGCCACCCTGCCTCGAACCCCAAATCCTCGCTCCTCTCCATGTTGTCTATCTGCCCTCCTGTCCCAGTCCGTTCTTGCTCCTCTCTTGCCCTCCCCACCTAACACCAGGTGTCTCTTCCTCAGCTCAGACAGCTATGGAGGTGGAGGGGGTCAGGGAAGACCAGGAGCAGCGCGGAAGGAGACTCGGTGACTTCTACGACATCCACCAGGAGATCGGCAGGTGGGGCTGGAAGAGGGCGTGAGCTGGGGAGGCTGGGTCTGAGGCCAGGTGGGCCTGGAGACACCAGCACACCTAAGCTCTGTCCCTCTTGCATCACCCAGGGGTGCCTTCTCCTACCTGCGGCGTGTGGTAGAGCGGAGTTCCGGCTTGGAGTTTGCAGCCAAGTTCATCCCCAACCACGCCAAGCCAAAGGCCTCGGCGTGGCGGGAAGCCCAGCTGCTAGCCCGGCTCCAGCACGACTGTGTCCTCTACTTCCACGAGGCCTTCGAGAGGCGTCGGGGACTGGTCATTGTCACCGAGCTGTATCCTGGGACTGGCTGCTGGGCGGTGGGGGGGAGGGTGGCAAGCATAGTCTGTGCAAGTGGCTCTAGTCCTGCCAGTTCGCAGCAAGTCAGCGCTTTACCAAGTGGCCCCGCGGGCAGTTGGGAGGGGCTGACCCCCTTCACAAAACCTTCCCTTTGACAACTGGGAATTCTGAAGTTGTCTTAGAAGTGCTTCACAGATTGGAGTCTGGAGAGTTCCGCAAAAATCTACATTTTGCCACCTCCCCTTCTCAGTACGTCTGTGTACCTTACAACACTTTCCGAACGTTTCATAAGTATCAGTCCTCCTCTGTCCCTGTCTCACGGAATGGTCTTATCCCCGTTTTACAGATGACGGAGCCGAGGTGGCAAGAGGGTTAGAAACTCACCTGAGGTCACTCAGCTAGCACAGGGTGTGTCTCGTGGGTCACAGTGCACAGTGCCCGAACATCTGAAATGACTCATCTCATGAGCAGGAATACTTGGCTTTATCTGGAGGCTGTTTCCATAAAGACTGGATGCATCCTTCCCTGAGAGCTACGGCTAAACTAAGGTGCCAGGAGACTCCCACTAGCAGGGTGACGGGGTCCTTCCTACGCCCAGCTTCCCAGCCTAGCTGGACCCTTAGAGCCCAAGCTTGGACAAACCCCAGGTTGTTACCAGCCATGGAGCTCGGACCATGGTCCTGGGCCATTCTTAAATAGTCAAGAAGCTCCATCCACAGTCAAAAAAAGCTGCTCTAACTTGATTCTTGTAAGTATTTTGCAGGGTGGACAAGAGATGTCACCCCATTTTACACCTGAGGGCACCTAGACTCAGAGAGGCTAGGTGACTCGCTTGAGGTCTCACAGCAAGTGAGATTTCCAGCAGGGTTGCCCCATCTTGCACCTAGATAAAAGGGGGGGGGGGTGAAGGTGTCAGATGTGCTTTAAGAGGAAGGAGAACCCTGTGCTGAGCTGGGGCCTGGGGGAGGAAGAGGGCAGTTGGCTCTGGTCACTGTTCTCCTTGATCCAGGACATAGCTGCACCGAGGAGCTGCTGGAGCGAATGGCCAGGAAACCCACCGTGTGTGAGTCTGAGGTGAGGGCAGTGGGTGGCAGGGGCAGGCTGGGCACTAGCATTCACCCCCTGAGCTGTGAGAACCAAGAGGGTGGGGCCTGGGCATGCCCTCGGCCCACACATAGGCTAGGGGTGGCGAGAGCACCTTCAGGCAGGCGCCCGCGTCAGGCCAGCGCCCCCGTATTTATTTGGGACTTGCATTGTCCTCTTCACACCTCATCAGACCCAACCTTACCCCTAGCTCTGTTGCTTCCCAGTCTTCCTCCCACAGATACGTCCCAAACATTTCTCCCAGGAGCCCCACCGCGGCAGTCTCCCTTCTCACTGCAGCCCTGCCATGGAGGACTCTGCGTGATTCTGTAATAATGTCGCGGGCTCCCTCCTAGATTGGTTGAGCCCAACCTGTGCGTCTGTACATGCAGGCCCCGGGTCTCAGCAACCCCGAACCGGTGCTTAAGCCCCCTCACCAGCTACCTGAGCTCTTGACACAGACCTAGTGATGTTCCGTCCCAGTACCCCATCCTACCCCTACAGACTCTGGGCTCCCTCTTTCCACAGATCCGGGCCTATATGCGGCAGGTGCTGGAAGGAATATGCTACCTGCACCAGAGCCATGTGCTGCACCTGGATGTCAAAGTAAGGGGCAGGTGGAGGGGGGAGCAGGCCGCCCCTGCGGAGGCCAGGCAGTAGGTGACCCCTTCACTCAGCCTCCGCCTTGCCTGTGTGCGGCAGCCCGAGAACCTGCTGGTGTGTGACAGTGCAGAGGGCGAAGAGCAGGTGCGGATCTGTGATTTTGGGAATGCCCAGGAGCTGACCCCGGGGGAGCCCCAGTACTGCCAGTATGGCACACCGGAGTTCGTGGCACCTGAGATTGTCAACCAGACCCCAGTGTCTGGAGTCACTGACATCTGGTAATGCAGGCGTGGCGGGTCCCAGGGAAGTTCAGGGCAACTTGCACGCAGCGTCTCCCGCCCTGTTACTGCCTCCTCTCATCAACTGGCCGACCCAGTCACTCGGGGCTCCAGCCCTGGCAGCCCTCGGCTCCTTGTCTCCCTGGTGCCAGACCTCCCGCTGTGCGGCTACCGTGGGCCCTGGTGAGGCAGGCCCCTCCCGTTTCCCCGACTCCTCTGGGCTTCCTGTGCCGGCCCTGCCATGACTCGACCTTCCCAGGGATGTCTGGAGCTCTGGGTTCAGGGTCCTCCCCAAAGGAGACGTCTGGACCCAGCCGTCCACCACGCTGGTCTCAGGAAGGACACTTCTCTCTGGATTAGCAGTAGCCGAGAACTAACTTCCTATGGGAGGTGGGCTTCCTCTCACCCATCCACTTTCCTTTCCCCACAGGCCCGTGGGTGTCGTTGCCTTCCTCTGGTAAGAACCCATCTGTACTGAGGGCCCCAGGCTCCTAATGGTTTCCTCCCAGGCCCACCTCTAACATCTGCAGGATCTGGGGCGAGAGAGGTTCAGGCCCTGCAGTCACCCCTTCTCTTCTACACCCCCGCTCCCTCCTCCCTCCTTCCTGTATTGCACCAGCCTCTTGCACATGGCTGCAGACACCCCATCTGCATGTGCAAGGTCTGCCACCAGCACAGCCCTCCAGAAGGGGGGCCATCAGCAGCATGCTCAGGGGCTGGGTGCGGAGACGCCAGTAGGTGCTCAGAGCCGTTCAGACTACAAGGTCCTGAGTGTCGAGGCGTGGTTGGGGGGGGGGGAATACCTCACTTGGGGGACAGAATAGGCCCCTCAGTACAAGCCCAGAGCAGAGGACCCGGTGCCCAGGCCTCCAAGCCGCCCCTGCCTCCCTGCCACCCAAGCAGTGGGATGGGAGCCAGGCAGACAACAGCCTGAAAGACCACCGTGAGCCAGATTCCCCCAGCCTCTGCCTTCCCCCAGTCCTGCCCCCAGTGCAGGCCTCGTCGCGCCCCTCTGCCTCAGCCCAGGACCCTGCTCGCCCCTCACCACAGCTATCTCCACCCCTGCAGCCTGACGGGAATCTCCCCATTTGTTGGCGAAAACGACCGGACAACTCTGATGAACATCCGGAACTACAACGTGGCCTTCGAGGAGACCACATTCCTAAGCCTGAGCAGGGAGGCCCGAGGCTTCCTCATCAAAGTGCTGGTGCGGGACCAGCTGTGAGTACCTGACCGCAGGCCACCCTGGCGCCTGCCCAGGCCTGCACCTTCAGGCAGTCAACCCCCGACTCCTTGAAGGCACCCTTTTCTCATAAATGCATAGACAGGCTGAGTGGGTGAATGATGACTGATCTACACCCTCATCCCTTTCCAGGAGGCCTTCTGCAGAGGAGACCCTGGAACACCCCTGGTTCAAAGTGAGTCTGGCCTGCAAAGCCATGGTAGCAGGGTGAAGGGAGCGAGCGGGTTAGGCACAGCTCCGAGTGTGGAGCACCTGCTGTGCCTGGTCACCGGGACGGCACATCACGTAAAGCGACTTACCGCCCTGACAGCACCTTAGCGGAGACGGGGCCTGTTATTCCTAACTTGTTGCCAAGGAAAGTCAGCCTCAGGCTGGGGCATCATGGACTCCAAGGCACAGGTCTGGACCCCTCTTCCTGGGGGTCACCCTCAGGGATCACCCCGGCTCTTGAGAATAGCTCTGGTCGCCTCACGCCCGTGTGGCCCCCTCTGTGCTGCGTGGGTCCCGCCACGGCGGAGGTGAGTGGCCTGCTTGGCTCGGCCTCCTCTCTAAGCTCCCGTGGGCAGGTTCTCGCTCACGCAGCTTCAGACCTCAGCACCGCCAGCCAGAGCGGGGAGCTCAGCAGAGGGTCCAGAAAGAGCAACCGAATGAGCCCCTAGGGCGCCCGAGGACTCCGGTAGCTGACCTTGGAGTGAGAGCCTTGTCCCTCAGACCAGACACACACTCTGAAAAGCTGGGCCTGGCTGGCAGGCAGCTGTCTGGGTCTGGCCCGCCAAGGCTCCAGATGCCTGGGGTGCTGGCTCTATGTTGAGACAAGCAGTAAGCTGAGGAGAAATTGGGGGCGTGGCAGGGGCCTAAGCAGGGGCCCCGTGATGGCCAGTGTCCTGGGGTGGGGACTCTGAACCCTGGTGAAGCCCCCAAGCCCACTTGGGGAGCCCCAGATTTTCTGCCTTTCTGCTAAATTTCAGGGGCTTTGTCCCCTCCCCCACCCCCGCCCCCATGAGTTCCATGGCCGTGGGGGTTGTTGACAGGTCCGGGAAGAAGAGTCTCCCAGGAGCCCTGACTCCGTGCACCTCTGCCTCCCTCCTGTGGCCCTGGTCTCCCTTTGCCAACCTTGAGGGGCTAGGTTGACAGAGGGCCTCCTCTCACGCCTCTTTCCGGGTTTGCAGACCCAGGCGAAAGGTGCAGAGGTGAGCACGGGCCACCTCAAGCTGTTCCTGTCCCGGCGGCGGTGGCAGGTAGGCGTGGGGCCGCTGCCTGCCTGTTGGGCCGCCCCCCCCACCTGTCTCTACCTGTGTGCTGCGCCTGCTGTCCGTCTGCCCACTTTCCGTCCTCCTGACTCCCAGAGCCCCCTGCCTGCCCGGGTCTGCTCCGCAGAGCCGAGGTGGGCACTGCGTGGGTCAGTCCTGCCTCGGGGCTCCCCCGGGCTGACTCTGGTACCCTGTCCGCAGCGCTCCCAGATCAGCTACAAGTGCCACCTGGTGCTGCGCCCCATCCCGGAGCTGCTGCGGGCTCCCCCAGAACGGGTGTGGGTGGCCTTGCCCCGAAGAACACCCCCCAGCGGGGGGCTCTCGTCCTCCTCGGACTCGGAGGAAGAGGAGCTGGAGGAACTGCCCTCGGTGCCCCGCCCACTGCAGCCCGAGTTCTCGGGCTCCCGCGTGTCCCTCACCGACATTCCCACGGAGGACGAGACCCTGGGCACCTCGGAGGCTGGGGGTGCCTCGCTCACGGGCTGGCAGGAGCAGGGAAGGGCCCCCTCCCAGGATCAGGCGGCCCCTGGCCCACAGGCCCTCCCCTCCCCAGGCCAGCAGCCCCCTGCCGGGTCCAGCCCCCCGCGGGGAGCTCTCAGGAGGGGCAGCTCGGCTGAGAGTGCCCTGCCCCTGGCCGGGCCGCGGGAACCGGGCCGGGGCCTGCACAAGGCAGCGTCTGTGGAGCTGCCGCAGCGCCGAAGCCCCAGCCCGGGGGCCACGCGCCTGGCCCGGGGAGGCCTGGGCGAGGGCGAGTATGCCCAGAGGCTGCAGGCCTTGCGCCAGCGGCTGCTACGGGGGACCCCTGAGGATGGCAAGGTCAGCGGTCTCAGGGGTCCCCTGTTAGAGAGCCTGGGGGGCCGTACCCGGGACCCCAGGCTGGCGAGGGCTGCCTCTAGTGAGGCAGCACCCCGCCACCAGCCTCCACCTGAGACGCGGGGCCTGCAGAAGAGCAGCAGCTTCTCTCAGGGTGAGGCTGAACCCCGGGGCCGGCACCGTCGGGCTGGGGCACCCCTAGAGATCCCCGTGGCCAGGCTTGGGGCCCGCAGGTTGCAGGAGTCTCCCTCCTTGTCTGCTCTCAGTGAGGCCCAGCCACCCAGTCCAGCAAGACCCAGTGCCCCAAAACCCAGCACCCTGAAACCCAGCACCCCCAAACCCAGCGGTGCCCCCAAATCTTTGGAACCTCCTGCCACCACACCTAGTCATGTCCCTCAGCCCTCAGTGCCCCAGCCCGCCCAAGAGAAGGTCCTTAAGCCCTCGCCAGAGCCAGTCCCAGCCCCCAAGCCAACACAAGCCCCCACCGCTGTGCAAACCCCAGTGCCACCTGCCACTCCCTATGCCCAGATCATGCAGTCGCTGCAACTGTCAGGCCACACACAAGGCTCCCCGCAGGCCCCTGCCACACCTCCGTCAGAGCCCAAACCCCACCCTGCTGTGTTCGCCAGGGTGGCCTCCCCACCTCCGGGGGCCCAAGAGAAGCAGCGGGTGCCTTCCCCGGCGCCTCCGGGGCCCGCTGGGAAAGCCCATCCCGGGCTAGCAGAGAAAGCCCATCCCCGGCTAGCAGAGAAAGCCCAGGTTCCGAAAGTACCCCGCAGGCCAGGCAGCAGCCTCAGCAGCAGCATCGAGAACGTGGAATCCGAGGCCGTGTTCGAAGCCAAGTTTAAGCGCAGCCGTGAGTCGCCCCTGTCTCGGGGGCTGCGGCTGCTGAGCCGCTCGCGTTCGGAGGAGCGCGGCCCCTTCCGCGGGGCCGAGGAGGAGGATGGCATGTACCGGCCCAGCCCGGCGGGGACGCCGCTGGAGCTGGTGCGACGGCCCGAGCGCTCCCGCTCCGTGCAGGACCTCAGGGCGGTCGGGGAGCCGAGCCTCGTCCGCCGCCTCTCGCTGTCGCTGTCCCAGCGGCTGCGGCGGACCCCGCCCGCACAGCGCCACACGACCTGGGAGGCCCGCGGCGGGGACGGCGAGAGCTCCGAGGGCGGCAGCTCGGCGCGGGGCTCCCCGCTGCTGGCGGCGCGCAGGAAGCTCAGCTCCACGCTGGAGCGGCTGTCCAGCCGTTTGCAGCGCAGCGGTAGCAGCGAGGACTCCGGGGGCGCGTCGGGCCGCAGCACGCCCCTGTTCGGACGGCTGCGCAGGGCGACGTCGGAGGGCGAGAGTCTGCGGCGTCTCGGCCTCCCCCAAAACCAGCTGGCCGTCCAGGCCGGCGCCACCACGCCTTCTGCCGAGTCCCTGGGCTCCGAGGCCAGCGGCACTTCGGGCTCCTCAGGTAAGGAATGGCAGGGGCGGCGGGTACCTGAGATGTGTGAGGTGTGGGTGGGGTTGAGGTTCCCGGCTGGGATGACTGACAGGTGTTGAGCCCGGAAGAGGGTGGGGTGCGCTGAAGAGGGGGGAGAAGGCTGGGCAGGGCTTGGGTCAGGAGCCCAAGGGGCAGAGACCCGGGAACCCAGACAGGGAGGGGCTGAGGTCCTCTGGGTGCTGCAGGGAGCGGGGATCGGGTACTGGCTGGGCAAGGGCTTGAGGGCCTGGCCTTCACAGCTCCGACCGAAGGCCGAAGCCGGCTGCGCTGGGGCCTCTCTCGACCACGGAAGGACAAAGGGTTATCCCAGCCGAACCTCTCCGCCGGAGCCCAGGAGGATTCGGGTCACCCTTACGTGCGCAGCGAGTCAGGTAATGGAGGCCTGAGGTCAGTGAGGCCCCCGCCCCACCCCAGGGAGCCGCCCCTAAGGCTGGGAGAGGGAGCTCCTGAGCAGCACCCTTGGGTGGTGGGAGGCTACAAGAGGCAGGGAACGAGGTAGTGCCGGCAGCAGCTGCTGTGCATCAGCCACTGAGCTCTCACAGGCTCCACCTCGCCCAACGCTCCTTGCTTAGGTCTGGCGGGCTCTTGCCTCAGCCCTGTTTTACAGGTGAGGACACAGGCTTAGTGGTGCTAAGCCGCTTGTGTGAGTAACAGAACTGATGGTTAGTGGAGCAGCCGGCGGGTTGGACGGTGTGACCCTCACAGACACCCTAGAAGTGGCTTTGGGACACCATACTTATTTGGGTAACCTCTTTCCTGGTGGGAGATCCTAGGAGGTCTCTCTTACTGGCCATATTTCAGAAGGCGCTCGGGCTAGGCTTCCCGAACCCCATAGCCCCTGTCATGTGTATAAGCTTAAATGCGCACCTATAGGCACTTTTTAAGCCTAGAAGCTCCCAGTCTGGTTGGTACCCCCAAGTTTCTGTTCCTGACAGCTTGAACACCAGCTGACTCTCCTCCCCCCACCCCGTACCCCAGTAAATACTTGTGCAGGGGTACAGACTTTAGGGCTTTTTGCTGAGGGCAGAGGGACTTGGGCAATGTCCTTCTGGGTGAGGGAGGGAGGCCACAGGGAAGGGGGTATCATTCATCTGGGGTCACCTCAGTTCCCCACCTGAAAAGGGTGCTTTACCCAAAGACCCCAAGTCACTTTTCCCAGGCCAGCATGCAGGAAAGGCGCAGGGTCCCAAGCCAGGCTGAGTGTGGGGTCTTTATTGGCCTCAGTTCAGTTCTTCTCCGTTTTCCTGAGGGATCTCAGATCTCAGAACTGTCCCAGACACACTCAGCTGGCCTGGAGGTGACCGTCTGGCCTTGACCGGAGCTGGGCTCTGACTCCAGGCAGTGACAGTGGGGACTCCAGTGAGAGGAAGAAGAGAGGCCAGCTGGAGGGGGCAGAGGTCAAGGAGGGGGGGAGAGAGCGGGAGAAGCCAGCACAGAGGTCTGGGGACAGCCCCCTCCCCAGGCAGGGCTCCCCCCAGCTCCTTTCGCTTCTGCAGCTGATTTCCTGCAAGGCAGCACCCCTTCCTCACCCTCGCCCCTCCCTGCAGGGAGAGCGCAGTCCCTGCTCCACTCATCCAGCCAGGCTGGCCCCAGGGGAGCATGGGTGGGACTGGCAGAGCCAGGTCAGGGTGGCCTCTCACCACTCCTCCTCCCCTCCCTCTCTCTTCTGAACCCCCCTGCCACACCCCCTGGCCTGGAGGTAGCGGCTGCTACAACTATATTCACATCATGTTTTTGGAACCTCAGCCTGGGGCCCCTCCTTGGAGAACACTGGGGCACAGTGGCAAGTGGGGCCACTACTGTCCTGACCGTCCATTCCTCTCCTGCCCAGCTCCGCCCCAGGCCCCTTCCTCCTGGTCCTCTGGACTGGCAGCAGCTGGGCCTCCCAGGGACAGCTACCCTTCCTTCCCCTGCCTGTGAGAAAGTAATTACATCCGCTTCCCCTCCTCCTTGCCCGGGTGGCCCGGACCAGACTAGGATTCTGGAAAGCGACATTCCCAGGAAGCAGGACACACCGAGGAGCTTCGGGCTGGCTGCCCTGGGGCCAGGACTGTGGCCCGTCCACAGCTGGGAGAAGCCACAACCGCTTTTTCCTCTGGGTCTGAGCGTCTCCGCTGGGCATGCGAATGAGACAAGAATCATGACAACAGTGATATGAATACCTAATATGAGCTTTTCCATGCCTCTTGACTTCCACAACTATCCCATGAGTTTAGTGTTACTATGTCCCTCCATTCACACCTACCTCCCCCGATGCCAGGCGGAGCAAGGCGGGGGGGCTGACACACTTTGGGGTCTGCTTGGGCTTCCGCTCTTTGGGGACTGCACATACTAATTGCACACTCCGTCCTGTCATGCCCCAGAGAGAGCAGGTATTATGGGACCGTACCTGTTACAGTTTTTCAAGATGTGCTTGTTCTTATTTTATCTAACAAATGCTCATAGGGCACTTCCTTAGTGCCAAGCTGGGCGATTTACAGGCGTGCTAGCATCTTCAACAGGCAGTGAGAGGATAAGATAGTTCTGTGTGCCAGGGCGATGTGATGCTCACCCCAGAGAAAATTCTAGAAGCTGTGTCATCATACGGGGAAAAGACGACCTTTTGCTTTACGCCCAGTTCTCATACCTCCCTCGGCAGTCGCTGAGCCAGGGTCCCACACACCCTTAGCTGTCTGTCTTCACTCTCTCCCCAGACTTCCCCCCAGTCTTCCACATCAAACTGAAGGACCAGGTGCTGCTGGAAGGAGAGGCGGCCACTCTACTCTGCCTGCCAGCGGCCTGCCCCGCGCCCCACATCTCCTGGATGAAAGGTAAGGCCAGCCCTTCCCCCAGGGAGGAGTCAGCATGGGGAGCTTCCACCAGGGAAGCTAAGGGAGCGGGAGGCTCGCAGGGCCCCATCTGCCCTCGTTCAGCAGTTCCTCCTGTCTCTGCCCCAGACAAGGAGTCCCTGCGGTCAGAGCCCTCCGTGGTCATCGTGTCCTGCAAGGATGGGCGGCAGCTGCTGAGCATCCCCCGGGCGGGCAAGCGGCACGCCGGGCTCTACGAGTGCTCGGCCACCAACGTCCTGGGCAGCATCACCAGCTCCTGCACCGTGGCGGTGGCCAGTGAGCCTGGAGCCGGGGCCGTGGCGGGCAGTGACAGGGGTGGCAGGGCGGGGCCACGTGGGCCCGAAGCCGGGGTGCAGGGGCTCACTGGGGCTCTGCCTCCTCTTGCCAGGGGTCCCAGGAAAGCTCACTCCTCCTGAGGTGCCCCAGACGTACCAGGACACGGCGCTGGTGGTGTGGAAGCCAGGAGACAGCCGGGCCCCTTGCACCTACACGCTGGAGCGGCGGGTGGATGGTGAGGCCCGCAGCCGGCCGGTGGGGTGGGAGGACAGGTGGAAGCTGGGGAGAGAAGCGTCCCTATGGGCCTGCATGCCAGTACACTGGGAGCTGGGGCCACCGCTTCCATGGCCTCAGTCCCTCCCCATGCTGCCCGCAGGGGAGTCTGCCTGGCACCCTGTGAGCTCAGGCATCCCTGACTGTTACTACAATGTGACCCACCTGCCACTTGGTTTGACCGTGAGGTTCCGGGTGGCCTGTGCCAATCGTGCTGGGCAAGGCCCCTTCAGCAACCCTTCTGAGAAGGTCCTCGTCAGGGGCACTCAAGGTCAGTGGGATGGGTGAGGTGACCCAAGAGGGAGGGGCCCTTCCTTGGAGCGCCTTGGTCTGGGCCCCCACCCCCACCCCCCATGGTGACTACTTCTTTGTCTCCACCTAGATTCCTCAGTTCTGCCACCTGCTGCTCACCACCGTGCCCCTGTTACCTCAGGGCCAGCCCAGGCCCCACCTCCTGACTCTCCTACCTCACTGGCCTCACACTCCACCCCAGCCTCTGCTTCTCCAGCCCCCCAGTCAGCTGCTCTCAGCCCCTCATCTCTCCCGACACCCCCCCACCAGGCCTTGTCCTCACTCAAGCCTGTGGGGCCACCCCAGACTCCCCCACGAAAGCACAGGGTCCTGCCAACAGCCAGGCAGATAGAGCCCACCCCACCCAGTGCCCAAGCCACCCCAAGTGAGCCCAAGTCTTCCGTCCCTGGCATTGGGACCCCCACCTTAGCCTCCACCCCTCAAGGGGTTAAACCAGCATCTTCCTCAACTCCCCAGTATATGGTGACGTCCTTCGTGTCTGCACCCCCAGCCCCTGAGCCCCCAGCCCCTGAGCCCCCTCCTGAGCCCACCAAGGCGACTGTGCGGAGCCTCAGCCCAGCCAAGGACACAGTCAGCTCCCGTGGGGGTGGTCCCCCCAGCTCTCCTGGGCCAGAGGCCACCGCTCTTCGACAGGGTCCCCCTCAGAAACCCTACACCTTCCTGGAGGAGAAGGCCAGGCAAGTGGAAGGGAGGGAGGGCGGGGTGGGGGGGTAGGGGTCACAAGGACTCCGGAGAGGGGAGCAGGCTGCCTCCGCTGGGGTGACAGGGGTGCTGAAACCTAGGCCCTCAGCTCTGCTGATTTTGCGTTTTCCCTTGCTTCGCTCTTTAGAGTTTTATGCACATTTAATTTTCACAAACAAACCAGAGAGCCAGAGGGACTGTAGTATTATCATTGCCCCTTCACAGATGGGGAAACTGAGGTTAGCGGCCACAGGCCTTGCCTAAGGCACAGAGCCAGGACTTGCACCCAGGTCACTAGGATTGAGCCCCAGAGCCCCCACTCAGCATCTCTGCACTCGTCTCCGAGCCCCTGCTCCCCCTGTAGGCCACATAGTGGGGGTGCGCTCCTCTCCTCTGAGCCCACGGTGTGCCCCCAACACAGAGGCCGCTTCGGCGTCGTGCGAGCTTGCCGCGAGAACGCCACAGGGCGAACGTTCGTGGCCAAGATCGTGCCCTACGCGGCAGAGGGCAAGCGGCGGGTCCTGCAGGAGTACGAAGTGCTGCGAACGCTGCACCACGAGCGGCTCATGTCTCTGCACGAGGCCTACATCACCCCGCGGTACCTCGTGCTCATCGCTGAGAGCTGTGGCAACCGGGAGCTCCTCTGTGGACTCAGCGACAGGTACAGGCAATTCTGGGTGGGGGGGATGGGCAAGGGACAAGCACGGGGAGCGCTGGGCTGGGCTGTCCCTCACCGCACCCCTGCTTACCCCCCCCAGGTTCCGGTACTCCGAGGACGACGTGGCCACCTACGTGGTGCAGCTGCTGCAAGGCCTGGACTACCTCCACGGCCAGCACGTGCTGCACCTGGACATCAAGCCGGACAACCTGCTGCTGGCCCCCGACAACGCCCTCAAGATCGTGGACTTTGGCAGTGCCCAGCCCTACAACCCCCAGGCCCTGCAGCCCCTCGGCCATCGCACCGGCACACTGGAGTTCATGGGTGAGGGCACCCTGCCGGTTGGGAAGGCAGTAGGGGGGGACAGCCAGGCAGGCCGCAGCCAGGGCTCACCCCACTTCACCCACACACAGACTGTTCATTGTCGGCAATGAGCTAAGTCCCTCCTCTCTGTCCCTCCTCTCTGTCCCGTAGTCATTCTGCAGGCCACCCTTTGTGGACGGGGAAGGGAGAGCCAGACAGCTTCAGCACGGGGCCCAGCTCCCGTCGCTGGGGGGGAGGGGGGACAGCCTTGGAGGAGAACGAGGCAGGTCTCTGCTCTCAGAACTGGCCGCTCTTCCTGTGGCCGAGCGTCCTGTCCTGCCTTGGAGCTGAGCTGGGGAAACTAGGGACCTGGTTCTCTGCGGTTCCAGGGACCCCGGTAATTCAGCACTTGTGATCGTTCCTCAGGTGCCCCTCATGCCCTTGAGGGTGCCCCCGCTACAGGGCCAGAGCCAGGGCCTGCTGCTCAGGTGGTGCCTGGGCATTGTGCTGCACCTCAAGCCCTAGGGCCCTCCCCTGCCTCGCCCTGCTCCCCTGCCACTAATAGCTGGTTCCACCTGGCCTCTGTCTCCTGCCAGCTCCTGAGATGGTGAAGGGAGAACCCATCGGCTCTGCCACGGACATCTGGGGCGTGGGTGTGCTCACTTACATCATGTGAGTCCCCGGGGCCCACCCTGTGCCCACACCCCTGCAGACACATACTCGCTCGTGCATGAGCCCCAGGAGTGGGGGGCCCTGCCCTTCAGCATGGGGTCTCTCACCACCACCCCGCTAATGTCCCTGACCCGTGAGTTCTCTTTCAACCCACACGTGTCTCCACCACAGGCTCAGTGGCCGCTCCCCATTCTATGAGCCAGACCCCCTGGAAACAGAGTCTCGGATTGTGGGGGGCCGCTTTGATGCCTTCCAGCTATACCCCAACACCTCCCAGAGCGCCACACTTTTCTTGCGAAAGGTCCTCTCCGTACATCCCTGGTGAGTGGGCCCCGTAACTGCCAGCCCCGGCATCACCCGCCTCCAGCACCCCTCCATTCCCCCCGCTCCTCCCCTGCCCTCAAGACACCCCGTCTGCGGCTGCCCCTGCTCCTGTGGCCACTACACCAGCTCCTGTTGCCCCGTGCAAAACTTGGCACGGCCCCGCGGGTTGGGCAGAACCTCCAGGGATGGCAAGGGGCTCGTGAGGGGCAGAGCCCCCCCAGCCGCTGGAGCTGTCCTCCGGACTCACGGCCCTGGGCCTGGCCTGGCAGGAGCCGGCCCTCCCTGCAGGACTGCCTGGCCCACCCGTGGCTGCAGGACGCCTACCTGATGAAGCTGCGCCGCCAGACACTCACCTTCACCACCAACCGGCTCAAGGAGTTCCTGAGCGAGCAGCGTCGCCGCAGGACCGAGGCGGCCACCCATCACAAGGTGCTGCTCCGCTCCTACCCAGGCAACCCCTAGCGGCCACCGGACCACAGCCGGCCTCGGGCTTCCACTTGGGTTCCTGCTGCCTGCCGCGTGGGACATTCCAGGGCCCGCACTCAGCCCGGTGGGCCTGGGGCTTCGGACACCACCAGCAGCATCACCCCGCCGGGCTGTTACCTCATGGACCCGCAGGGACGGAGGCCCCGGCTTTGGTCAATGCCACCCTGGTCAGAGCCGCAGGGGACCCGCTGGCCAGGCTGGGCTGTGGTGGGAGCAGGAAGAGGGGCAGGAAGGGAAGGGGGAAGTGATGAAGAAGAGAAGCTGGGGGTTAAGCAGGAGAGGCTCTAGGAAGGTTCTAGGGGTGAAGGGGCTGTGAGCGCCTGGACAGGTGGAAAAGGAAGGAGCCCAGGGCCGTGGGCTGGGAGTGAGTGAGGGTCAGGGGAGCGGGGACGCCGTGCAGGGAGCCAAGGCCAGCATGTGAGAGGGCGCTGAGGTGGGGGCGGGCGAGGGGAGCACTCAGGTGGGGGAGCTGCCAGCATCCCTGGGGGAGAACTTGGGGGGCTGGAGGCAGGGGCCACTCACGCCAGCGCTCGCCCAGGGCTGAAGCTCTGGGCAGCCCGTGCTGAGCCCCGAGTGTCTCCACTGCCCCTCTGCGGCCTTTGTCCTTCTTCCCATCCATATTTATTTATTTATTGACTTTTACGAAGTTTCCCTTCATCTAACCCCTAGCCTGTGTTGTCCTGACCACACCCCCCCCACCACCACCACCAGCCATCCAGCTGTCTGTGCAGCTGTCTGTCTGTCTGTCACAAGGAAAATAAAAGCGACAAGCAGCAGGGACTATGTGTGGTCTATGGAGTGGGGTGTCTGGGGTGCTGCGCCCAGCACATGTTAGACGCCCCCACCCGGGCCAGTGGAGGGCCGAGGATACCAATTAGCACCTCAGATCCCGTCTCCCTTCCTCCCCACCCTTCTGGTCTGAAACTTCTCCCTTGGTCATGAGGAGGAGAGCGTTTAGTCTGCTGCTTCCTGTGAAATTTCTGGAATCCTGGCAAGACCACTGAAACAGCCCCCCCACACCGTCCCCCCCAAGCCAGTCTCTGGTGCTCCTTCCTCCTCCTTATATATTCCATCATCGCAGCTTAGAAGACGCTGGCCTCTGGAATGGGGCCGCCCGCAGCCCGTCCTGGCTCAGCCCCCTTCACTCGGCCCCTGGAGCAGAGGGGTCCTCCCTGTGACTAGCGAGAACAGGTGGTATGATGCACCGCAGGGAGAGCGCCCCCACCCCCCAGAGTCAGGCTCTGTGTCAGAGCACCATGGAGGCACCTCGTGCACTGGCCGCTGGGAGAGGCTGGTCAGCGTGTCTGAGTGATGGGGACAGACACGAGCATCTTCTTAGGGACTAGCGACACCTCAGCCGGTACCTTCTATCCCCATGGCAAGCAGGGGGCTCTGCTGGGTGCCAGATGCTCGACTCCAGCTCCATGCCACAGATGGCCGCTGGATGCTAGAACTGAGCTGCCTGTCCTGGGGGGTGGAGGGGGGCAGGAAGAAGCACCCCCCCACACACACTCAATCCCTTCCTTGAAAACTGTTCCTGGCAAAGTGAAAGGAGTGAAGCCTCCCGCTATGAGCACAGAGCTGGCACTGGTGTGTGCTGATTGAGGTTGAGGGCGCCTTGGCTGGAGTCCAAACAGCCCTTCGCCCAGCCCGGCCCAGCCTCTCCAGCTCTCAGGACCCCCCAGGGAAGAGGTAAGCCCCATCATCATAAAATAACAGGCTGTTAAAGCCAGCTGGAAGGGACCAGAGAGATGCCTTGCCCACCTGTCATTTTAGCGATGAAGATATAGTGTTTGCCTGTGAGAATCGCTAATCCCCTACTCGATGCAAGTGTTTTCATATAAAAATGAGGTGCCTGAACTCATATCTTGATAAATGGTAAAATTCCTCTCCTGTTCCCCCTTGGATCTGGAGCTCCCTTCCCATCTCCATTGGAAATGGCGTGTGAACTGCTTGTTCCAAACCCGGAGGAGCAAAGGTAATTTATGTCAGCAGGGCTGTGTCAAAATTGCTCTCATCAAAAGGTGACAGCGCTCCACACCTGAACGGGCAGTTACAACGACTGCAGGAAATGCTTCCTACCTGGAGCCCCGGCCTGGACAGTCTGGACTCCAGAGGCCAGTCCAGAGGGGTTAACCCTTCAGATCACTGCAGGTGAGCTAATGCTCCCACAGACTAGTTTAGGCCCCCACCAGGGGTTGGACAGACCTAGATTTGGGGAGGCAATCTCCAGGGACAATGGGCCCACCAGATCCTACTGCATCACAGGGAGTGGAGTGAGTGGGGGTGGGGACAGGAGGGAAAGCTATTCTCAAAAACTCGTTCCCTTCCCAAGTTTATCTCAGTTTACCGCCAGGGGGCACTGTGCGGCCCACAACCAGAGACTCCAGAGGTGGGAGTGGGGGGGAGTGAGGTGCTTCCAGATAGCTCACCCGGCACTGTCATCACTGGCTGGACGGAAGGTTACAGATACTCTCCTTCATTCAGGGACACCCTCACAATACTCGTGCCCTTTACCTTATGCTGTCCCGGAAAGGGCGTGTTCTCCTACTGACTGAAGTGTAAACCTGTCCCAGTAGGAAGCTGGAAGCTTTTCACCTGGAGCCATATCTAGTGCTGCTGGAGTGAGACAGATCTCCTCTGCCCTGAGAGGGGCTGGGACTGTGTCCAGCTGTCTGGGCACTGACACGTGGTGCACCCCAGAGCCACTCAGGTCTCCGCCCCGGGGCCTGTCTCAACATCCCAGGTGTCCTCAGTATGGTGGCGCAAGGGGTTAAGCCACAGCACTACAAAGCTAACTGCAGGCCAGGGGGCTGACCCACATGGTGCAGCAGACCTCTCCTGTCTGCTCCCCTTAGCAGTGTACTTCAGTCAGTCTGTTCTGTTCCCTGTTCTGTCTCTGGTGAATCCTCTCATCTCCCTGCCCCCACCGCCATACTGATGGCCTATACCTCCAGTTCTTGTATGCATGAGTAAATAAATCTTTTTTAAAAATAAATAAATATGGTGAGGGCAGGCACATGGGTGATTTGGTGATTGGAAACCCAAGGGGATTGCAACTGAGATAGAAAAATGCACAAAAATATGTAAAAATAAATAATTATAAAATAAATGAATAAATACGTAGGGGCAGGAGGAGGGGGCTGGGACCCCAGGGAACTTGAGGCAACCAAGTCAAACAAAGCAAGAAGGGGAGTGGTGTATAAAACCAGGGCCGAGGGCTGAGCGCCTGCTCACATCCCTACTGTGTCATTCGGAATGTCTCCTTGCCACCTGCTAAGCAGCTTGGCCTCCCAAGTCCTGAAACTGACCCCCCACAGTGAGCCTCGATCCTCAGATCAGCTCCAGACACCCACACCCTGGGATGTTCTGCACCAATCAGCAGGGGAAAGACTGACTGTGTCTGTGTCAGCTTAGACGGGTATTTGTTTCCCCCTTCCCAGATGTCCAAATCAGGTCCCACCAAAAAACCTGCTGTTCCGCCTACCGGATGCACCCCCAGGTCCAGAGTGCTGCTATTCCGCAGGCACCACAGGTGAGGGAGGACCCAGAAGCCCTCTGGAGGAGGAAGTCCCTGCATGGGGAGTTGAGAGGGGGAGGGGAGGCTGAGCACAGTGTCACGGAGGGCTGGAGTCACTGGGGAGCGCAGTTACTGAGGTGTTGGAGGGTGAGAGACAAGAGTAGGTCATCTTACCTGGGAACCAGTCCAGGAGTTCTGTACCCATTCTTACCTGTAGGGGTTTAGTAGGCTGAGGGGGCAAAAGGAAAAGTGTGAGGGAGGGCAGGGTGGCAAGCAAAAGCATTGTTGGGGAGCCCTGAGCCTTGACCCAGCCCATGCACAGGTCTCAGAATTTGCTGCAAGAGAAAGGGCTGAAGGAAGTGCTGGAGTCGCTACAAGACGTGTTGATAGAGGGCAGCGAGGCTAAGCTGACTTGCGGCATCTTGGCTTTGCAGACCCATTCATCCGCTAGAGCGGATGGTGGCGAGGAGCTGCACTGTGGGCTCAAGTATCGCTACATCATTGAGGGGCATGACGTAGTTGCACTGATGGTGTGCGAAGGAGAGCTGGCAGACCTAGGCCAGTATAGTATACAAACCAGCCCCTTCGGCCAGTGCTCTGACGTGGCACATATCTTCATGGGAGGTAAGCGTGCCCAGGGCCACCCTGGAAAGCAGCACCACTTGCAACAGGGATGGGCCGGCACAGACACCGCGGGGGGCCTAGCCCAGTCTAGACTGGGTTGTGGCTGCAGCTCCAGGCACACCTGGGGCACAACCTGCCCTGCACTGAGTCAGGGGGACTGCTACCTGCCTCCGGATGTCATGACCCCTCCCACCAGGCTGAGAAGGCCCTCAGGGATTCCCTTGCATCTCTCCAGTGCCCCAGGGTCACAGAGCCCCGATCTTCTTGTTCCCAACCCAGGGTAACTTCCACTATGAGGAAGGAGCCTTGCAAGACACAGAGAGATGTGTGGACATTCCCGAGCTTTCACCCTAGTTTATCTTTTGATCCCCCGTTGGATCTTACCAGGTAAGAAAAGTTGCGATTAGTTGGGCATAAGTAACTGCTGAGGAGGTGAAGCCCCAGAGAGGATCAAGACTTGCCATCTCCTACTCAGGGCCAGGTATTAGCTGCAGAGGTAACTGAGGTCCAGCCTGGCCTCCCCTCCCAGCCTCTCACTGAGCCTCATTCCCTTCCCTTCCTCTAGTCGGGGAAGGCTCAGAAGGGGCCAGATAACTCTAAGGCGTGCAAAGACAGCACGGTGAATGGGCGCTGACGTGGGCTGGACCAAGGACGGAAGGGACACCCTGGAGGATGACAGGTAAGGGCGGGGTCCTGTCGCGAGGGCTGGGCCTGGAGCTGGAACTTGGGCGGGACAGGGCCCAGAAACCCCGCGCGAGAGGGACAGGGGCGGGAGTGGGCAGCGGGGAGGAGGCGCAGAGCTGGCTAATTAGCCTGCCCGCCGCGTTTGGTAACCTGACCCGCGGCCCGCCCTTGCCCCCCCCCCGCCCCCCGGGAGGACTTAGAGTTCGGCAGGACCAAGGCCGCCGGCCACGCCCCAGGACAGCTGCCCGGCGGGGGGTGGAACCCATGCCCCTCCTCTCTGTCTTGCTTAATAAAGTTTCTTTCTCTGAACCTCCGCATCTATTCTGTTCTTTTAAAGCACGATTTCCTCCCCCCCGCACCCACTTATTCCACGGGCACATCCATGTCACAGACCCTAGTCCAGTGTTTATTTTACAGAGCGAAAACCTGAGATCGACTTTCTCTCAGGCTAGGGCACCTCACTTCGAGGTGGGACCGGTAGCTGTCTGGGACT